GCATGATCTGCGAGGACAAAGCCACCGGACTCCATTACGGGATCATCACGTGCGAGGGGTGAGTGAGAGCGCGTTCGAGTTCGGAAACTCGAATCGCATCTCTTTCTTTCTTCCTTCTTTTGTTTCGAGTTTGTAAATTTATTTCTTTTTTTTTTTTTTATTCCATCGTTTTGAAATTCCTAAATTCGAGATCTCTTTCTTTCTTCCTTGTTTTGTTTCGAGTTTGCAAATTCGAGATTTCTATCTTTCAAATTTGTAAATTCGAGATTTCTTCCTTCCATCGTTTTGAATTCATAAATTTGAGATCGATTTCTTTCTTCCTTTCTTCCTTCGTTCCAAGTTTGTAAATTCGAGATCTCTTCCTTACTTCCTTCCTTTGTTCCAAGTTTGTAAATTCGAAATTTCTTCCTTCCATCGTTCTGAATTCGGAAGTTTAAGATTTCTTCTTTCCAAATTCATAAATTCCAGATTTCTTTCTTACTTCCTTCCAAATTTGTAAATTTGAGATTTCTTCCTTTCTTCCTTTCTTCCTTCCTTCGTTCCAAATTTGTAAATTCGAGATTTCTTCCTTCCATCGTTCTGAATTCATAAATTTGAGATTTTTCTTTCTTTCTTCTTTCCTTCGTTCCAAATTTGTAAATTCGAGATCTCTTCCTTTCTTCCTTCCTTTGTTCCAAGTTTGTAAATTCGAAATTTGTTCCTTCCATCGTTCTGAATTCGGAAGTTTAAGATTTCTTCTTTCCAAATTCATAAATTAGAGATCTCTTTCTTTCTTTTTTCTTTGTTCCAAATTTGTAAATTCGAGATTTCTTCCTTTCTTCCTTCCTTCGTTTCAAATTTGTAAATTCCAAATTTCTTCCTTCCATCGTTGTGAATTCGAAAGTTTAAGATTTCTTCTTTCCAAATTCATAAATTAGAGATCTCTTTCTTTCTTTTTTCTTTGTTCCAAATTTGTAAATTCGAGATCTCTTTCTTTCTTCTTTCCTTCGTTCCAAATTTGAAATCTCTTTTTTCCATCGTTCTGAATTAGAAAATTCAAGATTTCTTCTTTCCAAATTCGTAAATTCAAGATTTCTTTCTTTCTTCTTTCCTTCGTTCCAAATTTATAAATTCGAGATTTTTTATTCCATCTTTCCAAATTCATAAATTCGAGATCTCTTCTTTTCTTCGTTCCATCGTTTCGAATTAAAAAACTCGAGATCTCTTCATTTCTTCCATTTCTTCCTTCCATTTTAAATTCGAAAATTCAAGATTTCTTCTTTCCTTCGTTCCAAATTTATAAATTCTCTTCCTTCCATCCAAATTCAGAAATTCGAAATCTCTTCCTTCCTTCCTTCCTTTCTTCCAAATTCGGAAACTCGAGATCTCTTCTTTTCTTCGTTCCATCGTTTCGAATTAAAAAACTCGAGATCTCTTCTTTTTTTTTCTTCCGAATTCGGAAACTCGAAATCTCTTCCTTCCTTCCTTCCTTTCTTCCAAATTCGGAAACTCGAAATCTCTTCCTTCCTTCCTTCCTTTCTTCCAAATTCGGAAACTCGAGATCTCTTCTTTTCTTCGTTCCATCGTTTCGAATTAAAAAACTCGAGATCTCTTCTTTTTTTTCTTCCGAATTCGGAAACTCGAAATCTCTTCCTTCCATTTTAAATTCGAAAATTCAAGATCTCTTCTTTCCTTCGTTCCAAATTCATAAATTCGAAATCTCTTCCTTCCTTCCTTCCTTTCTTCCGAATTCGGAAACTCGAGATCTCTTCCTTCCTTCCTTCGTTCCACTGCTCGCGAAGAAAAGCCGCGACGATCGATCGATCGATCGGCGACGAGTCGGGGATTGCGGCTTTCGAGACGAAGGCGAACTCTCACCTTTGCCCGCTCTCTCCCGACTTTGCGCCCGCGTTCTGACGTACGGACGGAAATATATGCGGCCCGAGGTGTCTTCGAGGTTACCGCGTCACGGTTGAACTATGAATACAGCCAGAGATATCCTTCCCCGCACGCTATGCTATGCTTTCGAGCTCTTCGTCGCCTCTCCCCTTCCTCTTTTTCCCTTTGTAAATAGAAACATCTTTTCTACCTTCGAAGGGGAGAAGAAATAATTTCGGATAAATTTAAAACGACCGTTTCCTTTTTTCCTCTTTTTTTTTTTTTCCAAGTTTTCCAAGGTGGAGAGAAAAATGCTCTCGAAGCGTGGCTGATTGCTCCGTAAGATTACTACAGAGTGTCGTTACTCGGTTTCATGCTAGTTTGTTCAATGTCTGTTCGACCGATCCGAGAAATTAGTTGGAAAAACTCGACGAGTTTTCCCTTTGTGTACCCGCTAATTCTCCGCCTATGAATCTTTAATCGGTAGTTTCCCAGTATCGAGATACTACACTCTTTCTTCCCTCGAGAGATAAACTTTGGTTCTCTCGTTGGACAAAGAAAAAAGAAGAAGAAAAAAGAAAATTCTTGATAAAATCGTGTTCGAAAGAAAGAGAGAAAAATTTCGCCGAAACTTTTCGCGTGGCGGCGAACAAGGATGTTTCTCGTTGAAACGTGGTGAAACAGCGTGTGAAATTATGTATGCGCAGGTGTAAAGGTTTCTTCAAAAGAACTGTACAAAATAGGCGAGTGTACACATGCGTGGCGGAAGGTGGTTGCGAAATCACAAAGGCCCAGAGGAACAGGTGTCAGTACTGTCGTTTCAAAAAGTGCATTGAACAGGGTATGGTCCTTCAGGCGGTTCGAGAAGATCGGATGCCCGGGGGAAGAAATTCTGGTGCTGTGTATAACCTTTACAAGGTTGGTATCCGCATTTACCGTACACCCATGTTATCGAGAAAAAATTCGAGCTCCAAATCGATCCTAATTTTTTATCAATTTTATTTATATATATATTTATTATTATATTATAAACTTTATTATATTATAAACTTTTCGTAAATAATAATAGTTGAAAAATAACGTGTTCGAGCGTAATTAAACGTTAAAATAAGAAAAGATACGAGCTCGAAATTTTGGATCGATCTTAATTCTTTATCAATTTTATTTACATATATATATAATAATATATAAATTTATATATATATTATATATACATATTATATATAATATATAT